AACACAATATTTCTATATTGAAGAGTGAACATCAATCAAATACCAAGCTAGATTCAAAAGCTTCAGATCATGTTATTGTAGGATTACCTATTTCCATGCATACGTATATTGTCATGCCCCTGTTGGAATCTGATTCGGAGGGGGAGGCCGACCAGCTGACAGGGAGTGGGAGTGTGGCTCTGTTGGCTGTGGAAGAAACTGGGGAAGGGTAAAGGCCAGCTGGGCAGAGCAGGGGAGAGGAAATTCGGAGGAAGACCCAGGCCCACCCCCTCTTCATCCTAGGGCACGCAGGGAGGAATGGAGAAGGGAGCGACGTTAGTTGCATGGCTTACAGGGGAGGAAAGGACCCTGATTCCTTTCATTAGCTGCAGCTGGGAACACAGTGTTTAAAAAGGGAAGCTGCGCACAGCAAAGTTGTTGGGAGCAAATCGTGAATTATCTGGTATCGTTGAGGCTTATCTGGGTTCCTGGCATCTTCCCAACTGTGTGTGTTTTGCTGGGCTTTCAAGTCTGCAATTCCTTCTCCTGCCCTGTCAAGTCAATTACTGCAGTGTGGTTTGTGTGGATTTTTTACAGTATGTATGTACTTTGTTTTCGGACTGAATTTCCTCCACTTAAAGACTGTTCCTGGGAGAGTTTTTCCTCCAGCTGAAGTTAACCTGGACATTGGGGGCAAAGTTGGAGGTATTAAAGGGACATTTCTTTCTTATTTGATGGTGTTGCCTTTGTGCCACACCCTAGGTCATCACATATATGCTCTCTGCATTCTAGAAATGTCTTGCTGGCAAAACCATGACTAGCTATGATGTGGAGATTGGTTTATTGATAATCCACCACATGAAACAAATTCCATGTGAAGATTAGATGGGTCCATGTTGCAAAATATTTCTACTTTAAATTGAAATTTTGATTATGACCCAAGTATTTTACATTTTTCTATATCTAGCTTTTTGCTATCTGCTCTAATTATTACTTAATAATGGTATTGCTTTATCATTTTATATGTTTGTATTCCATTGTATAGGATAGTCATAACTTCTCAGAGTCAATAATTTAATTGTTTTCATAATAAAAAAACAATGTATAACTTCTATAAATAAATGCACAGATACATACAACCATAGTGATGAAGAAAATCACACAGTGGAAAAAACAGGGGATTTTACATACTAGTACTTTATGTAATAAAAATGTGCAAAGTTACAATCATTCACTCTGTTAGCCTATTTAAACCAAAAAGCATTTAAAGCTACTTAAGCTGTTTAGGCTGCAATTGTACACCCACCTAACTTGGATTAAATTCCCAAACTGCATTTATAAGTAAGAATGCATAAATCCACATTATACTATATACAGTACAACCCCATTCAGATATTGAAAAAAGACAAGTTGGGGAAAAATATTTCACTATTACATTAATTATATACCTTCTCCATAATTTAATTTTAATTCTAATATTTAGTTTCAGCTTTTATTTTAGCACAGTGGTGTATATCTCCTGCATTTTCACAGGGATTAAATGGGTATTAAATTCATCATTCGCATGTTTTGACAAATTCTTTTATTCAACTCCTGTTTTTACCACTAGATGGCAATCCACTATGAATTTACTTGTTACAAGTTAAATAATGATCACTTAAATCTTACTTCAACAAAAACCTAATTTCACTGGAACTACTTTAGTACATGCAAGTACTGAAAAGCCTCAGAACCTGGCACAGTATATAACACAGCGTGAATGCTTAACCATAAATATAAGTATTGTACATTATGTTCTATTCCACAAATTAATCTACCAGCAGCGATTAATTCTAATGCCAATGTAGGTACCCAATATGCACTAGCAATTTGTTTTGGTGAAAATGTAACTGACAAATACTATAGTAAAATGGAGAAATATGCGAAGCATGAAGCCAGGGCAATAAAATGACAGAACGTTGGATTTGATTTAGGAGTATCTGCAGTCATACTTTTACTATCAATGATAATCTTACTTTATTCATGCATTTTGTTGTGTGAATAAAGGAGCCACAGATCAATGTTACCATACACCGTATTCTAAATATTCTATATTAATGAGGAATGACAATATGTCATCCTTGCAGCTTTGAAAATATACATATTGTTAAACTAAAGGAGATCCAATCTAAAGCAGAAAAACAAATTGAATGTATGTTTAGAACTATTGACTGATAACAGTTACACAAACAGATAAAGAAATAATGGCTAAGCATATTGAATAAGTACAAGGATTCCATCCACCCCTTCTTCATTGTTTGTTGTTACAGGTTTAATCATTGCAGTTCCATTTTTTTTAAAAAAAGCAAACCTTAATGTTGAAAGATTTGTGTTTACTTTGCCATACAGAGAATAGGCAATATTAAACCCCAGCTGTCAGTGTGACAGTTGCATTCCTTAAAGCACCAACAATTTTCCAAACTTACACAATAGCCCCCAAAAGAGCTTACAATAATGAGCAGAATAAAAGGTAGCACAAGATCTCAAAAACTTAAAATATGCACTCTTTAATACAGACATAATAGCAAATAATAGCATTGTTTCTTTTAATTATTATTTTCAAAGCTTCAGATCTATCAATGTAGGTTTAATGAAGTTACTATTGTTTCCCCACCCCCCACCCCAATATAGGTTTTCTCCCAGGTAGGTATATCATTTTATACCTACTTAAACTAAAATAGGTTTTTGCTATTTGATTAGTTATTTTTTTCAATTTAAAGATATTTTTCTGGACATGTTCAATCACTTTTTGTGTTTTATTATTTTGAACATTTTTGTACTATCCACAAAATATGGCCACCTCAGTTTATTATCAAGATAATTGACAAACAAGTTACACCAGCCACAAAAAGATCCTTGAGAGACTCCACTTCTTATTTCCTTTAAACTGCCCATTTATTCCTTTCTTTTTTTAATCAATTTATGTGCTATTAAGTCAGTATTGAATAACAAAGTTGGAAGAGACCTTGGAGGTCTTCTAGTCCAACCCCCTGCTAAGCAGGAAACCCTATAGCCATGATGGCGAACCTATGGCATGCGTGCCACAGGTGGCATGCAGAGCCATTTGTGCTGGCACGCAAGTGCAGGCAAACTTACCTCACTGGGCATGTGCACACCTCACAACTGATTTTCAGCCGGTTTGAGGCCTTTTTCGACCTCCCAAAGGCTTGAGGAAGGCTTCTGCAGGTCGAAAACTAGCCCTGTTTCGTCACTTCCTGTTTTTCTGAAAATACCAGAAGTGATGAAGCGGGGCTAGTTTTCGGCCTGCAAAGCCTGCAGAAGCCTTCCTCAAGCCTTTGGGAGGCTGAAAAGGGCCTCAAACCGGCCGAAAATCAGCTGTGAGGCACAGTGCAGGTAA